TTATCCAGGCACGAGTTGTTCCTACAGCAAAAGCCGGTCAGGTTAACGGTGTTTACGTGCCAGTACATTATACCAGTATGACAGTACCTTTGTCTTTGCTGGTGTGCTGTCCCGGACCTTTATCTCTTTCATAGCGTGGATGCCCTGGCTCTCTGATGTGCTCATAGGCTTCACGGGATGAGGCCTGTAAATAAAGGCATTACGTTACTGTAAGGCCTGATAGTTTACTAAGTAAATAGAAGAAGAGGTACAGAAGCCCCACAGAAAATGATTAAGAAATATTTTGTGTAGGAGAAAAACAATTAAATGATGTGTTTTATCATCTTCCATAATCATTTCTACCGTATTCAAAGTGCATTTGAAGTGCAATATTCAACATTCAGATTGAAATCAAGTGTGAGGAAAGTTTCCAAGAAATCACAGCCTGGAAAACAGCCACACCACAAGATAAATCCCAGCAACTTATTCGCCTCCCAGTATAACAGCACCATATGTGATCCACCATAACTGAATCAAGCTCAACCCTCATCAAAGGCTAACTCTGAAAACAGCCTGGTCAATCTCACCTGCGTGAATTTATCGCTAGCCCGCTTCCATTGCTATTCTGAGTACTGACAGGCTGAACCTCAGATGGTGACACCATCGTTCGCAAAGTTTCCTTCCCCCCAGACAAGATTTCTGGTTCCTCCATAACTACTTGAAGGGGCTCTGAAGCTTGAAAAAAAGATCGGTCTCCAAAAAGATCCTCTCCTTCACTGAAACTGCTCTGTGTTTTCCCATCATTGGGAAGCAGCAGTGGGATATCTCTGAAACCTTGAGTGGCAGTGGGTATTATCTGCTGTGTGGGAGTAGTGGATGGAAGGCTCTTCTTTCCTTTTTGTGAATTCTTTCTTTGGAAAGCAGGACTGTCTAGGACTGACTCATCATCCGTTTTCCTGTATTCACTCTGTTTCTTCAAATCACTGCCATTAAAACTGGTGAAAGGATCTGGTGTTTTTTCTTGACCAAAAACTTTATCAAAGTCATTTGCTGTCATTCCCCAATCTCGAGGTGTCGCCTCCTTCCTACTAGCATCGCCAGTAAAAAGTGAATCACCGTTTTCCTTCTGCAGTGTCCATGGGTCTCTGGAAAGAAGCTGAGTACTGGGGAATGGGTCCTCTTCTGCAAAGCCGTCTTTTAACTTTTTGTCTGTGCTGCTCATACTTGAATTAGATACTTTTGGGATGTTACCGTTCACAGCAGATTGTTGTTCCTTTGTTAGCTCGTTGACACTGACCCTTTGTCTGGGTTTAGCTGTGGGTGCTTCTTTGTTCATGGTGGCTTGTTCTTTGCTTTGATCACTTGAAGGTGGTGTATTCAAGTCCATTTGGCTTGGTGTTCTGGGTGAAGGTGTGGGTGAAGGTTGCAGCACCTTTCTTGCGCCATCTCCTGACGTAACTCTGCTTGAAGTGTCCGATATTACTGATGCTGGGGATGCAGGTTGACTACGTGTCACTGAAGACTGTTGGGAAACACTCGGGCTTTGTTTCTGACTGGAATCTGCTGCTGATCGTGGAAGTGGAGATGTCACTGGTTTAGGAGGAGTCGGGGCTGGTGCTTTTTTTGTTGACACAGGTTTGGTCTCCTGAGGTTTAGCTTGGGAAAGCCTCATGTTAGGAGTCTCCAGTGAAACAGAAGACCTAGGACTTGGTGTATGCTCCAATGGACCGTCCACACTCATCTCAGGACCCAAGAGTACAGGTGCACCCTTGTGTTTCTGATTGACCTCAGCAATTATATTATCCCATCGAGGCTGCCCTTTCACCCCGTGTCTCCTCTGAGGGAAGAGGGTTTCATAATCTGGAAGTGGCACAGAGGTTTTGCCTGGTTGCGGTTCTTCTGGCTCTTCATAAGCCGGGTTTTGAATCTCTCTGACAGGAGTAAGATTTCCTCTGGTTTGGCTCCTGTAAGTGGGTGGTAGGAGGGCCCTTCTGTTCTGATCTGCCATGGTGGGTGAAGACCCCTCAGATCCAGATGACAAATTCTCTGTGTTGCCACGGGGAGAACTAGGTGGG